GGGTTCAAAAAATCCACGTACATTGACCTTACAACACGTTGCAAGAGATGGGGAGGTAGTTCAAAAGGATGTGTGCATCAGTAAATATTAAAGAACTTTCCATCACAAAATTAATTCAAATTATTATGTCTCCTCATAAAATTTACAAGACAAAACATTAAATTTCTGAAATAGTCTCCATGTATAAATAACAGAATGCAATGTAAAACATAAACAATTTGAGGCATTACATTCTTTTAAAATATATTTACCCTACTGCATAGACATGGCATTAAGGATGCCCATCTGGCAAACTCAAATTTAACTTAATTATTCATGCCTCTACGGACAAGTATTCTCAAACAAATGATAAATTGGTGCTAGTTTAGTTCAAATATTTCCAGTAGACTTCAGTTCCAACATTTACCAGTTAATAGAATAACCAGATAAATATTCAGAATTGTTAATCATCTGCATCTTCGATGAGACAGATGTTTGGAGTTTTAAAGTAAACTTTAGAAGTTCAACTTAATAAGTTTATATTTTAACATGTTATACACAAATCCATGAATATTAGGATTTTGTCAAATAGTATATGCAAGGGGTACCAAACATAAGTCAAATATCGGTGGAGAGAGAGAATATCCCTGTTTAGTACCTTACTCAAGGAAAAGCAAAACAAAACAAGCCTCCAACCAGGTTCCATTGGTCCTGACTCTGGCTCTAGAATTTTCATATAAAATGTAAGCCCATTTCTGAAATTCCGGAGGAAAAACATAATTTCCCTATGTGGCAAAAGTAAGTTTCCAATAAGTTTTATCAAAGACCTTCTCCACATCCAAAGAGATAATAAAAAGAGTTTCTTTTATACTTATTTAATACAGTCAGATCCACAACCAATCTGAAATCATCACACACACACCATTCCTATTTTTATTGAATACCACTTGCTCTAGTTGAACTAAGGCTGTAATAACTTGCTGTAATGTGTCATCCAAAATTGCAGTTCATTCTTTGATAGTCAACATTGATCGAGATAGATTGATAATTAGCACAGATGGTATGATCTCTGTCTGGTTTAGGAATTGATGTAATATAAGCATCACTGAGAGCTGACAAAGGAGAAACTAATTCAAAAATGCACAAATGCTGATAAATTAGAGAGACTGAAGAGGTTGTACAGCACTCAATTGGAACTCCATCTAGACCAGGAAATTCCCCCATTTTCATATTAACTATTGCTTTCATAATATTCCTCAATCCACAAAGCACCATAAAAACTGTCTCTAGGATATTGAGGCAAGTTTGATTAACCTGTGCAGAAAAGGCATTCATATTCTGACTTAATATTGTACTACCTCTTTTCATAAGAAAAGTTGTATCTTCAGGATGAGTAAGTATTGTGCCACTATTGTCTTTAATCATAAAAGACAATTTCAGTGTTTTGAAACAAAAGAAGTTTCAGTGCTTTGGTTGTCTGAGGCAAGATCTTACCAGGCTGTTGACCATTCTTTCAATATAAGTGTCTTAAACAAACTAATGAGAAATTTCCCTATTGTAAAAAATAGTATGCAGCTCATGTTTAACATGCTACAAGGAGAGGCAGCAAACTGACTTATAGGAGTTTTCAACCTACCACTTAAAGCTATTTGTTGCTCTTTCCATTTTTATGAGAAACCTAAGCAATAATTCAGCCTAGGATAAAAGCTTTTCTAGCCTCCCACTCAGTCAGCCTGAGTTTGCTGTACCCTCATTAATTTCAAAATATTCTTGTAGCTCAGCAAGTATCTGATTTTTAAAAGACTCTTCATTTAAGAAAGAACATTAAAGTGCCAAAGATGAGTAAGCCTTGGGTTATGTGTAAATAGCAAGTCCAAGCAAACTGGAACATGTCAGATATCACCAATATTTTAATCTTATAGCCTCTGATTTTGAGTAACAAAGCAGTAGAAACCAACCAGAAACACTTAAGGTAGAGAGAAGATATAAATGTGTAGTTTCTCTTATCTAGATACATTATTCTGCATGAATCAATCAGCCAAATTCTGCCCATATGAGCCTGAATTTGCTTGCCAATAAGGGGCTGATATATCTCTGTTCAGGAAAGGATCCAAGTTCTCAGTAAAATCCCATGTACATGTACTCAGTACCAAGCAGTTTACTAAGACATTCATGAAACTTGACAGGAGAGTCATTATTGGACCTATATACATTAATCAAAGCATTACATTCTTGTAGCATTTTGCAACCAGAATCAAACACCAACCATTGGTTTCAATAATAGTCTGTTGAATTGCAAACAAAAGTCATTAACAGATTAAGATCAGTATCCATTTAAACCTGGTCAAAGCATCTGTTGCACAGGTCTCCCCTACCCAGTCAGTTGATCCTGCATCTGTTGCTATTAGATACATTTCCTGTTGTTTTTTTAAACTCACATCATTCTGTATTCCTTTCAGAAAACACTTTCTTTGGTTTGGATTTGGCACTCCCCTGACATTCCAAAGAGTAATTTAAAACATGTTTTCCTTTTTAGTAAGTTTATGTCATGGCCACACCTATGTGCTTTCCAAGTCTCCGGCACTTTAGCAAATAATTCCTCAAAAGCTAAGACTCTGGGTTGTTAGATAAATGACTAGATTTAAACAGGGTTTAAACAGACTTTATTCCTTTAAAAAAATGAGAAATGCATATTTTCCTGGATAGTGACTGCATTTCTGCCACAGAGCGGAAGGAGTTGTGCTTTGGAGCATGTTTGGCACAAATGACACACCTTTCTGTAAAACCATCATTTCACATTCACTAATCTTTCTGCTGGATGCATTAACTAGGCATATGCAAGGAATCCATCTGGACTGGGAACATATTGGCTTCCCCGGGCTTGGCTCTCCTGACTCCAGTCCACTTTACAGAGGCCCTGAGTCTGGGCTCCTGATGAGTGCACCAAGCATTCACAGAGTGCTTACCAGGAATCAAGCAGCATGCACTGTGCAAACAGTGCACCTTTCCCATGTGCACACTGCCCCTTGTGCCCACAGCAGTGATGAGGCAAGAAAGCTGGTCACGGGAATGGCAGCCGACACGTCCATTTTCAGCACTCCTGTTTTGTACCCTGCATCCGCTCCTGATGGTGACAGTTGCTCCTTGCACAGCTGGGGATCTGTGAGCATGCATGGACTTCCTCTTGACTTGGCTCACTTTGCAGGACCAGGCTGAGCCCAAGACCAAGTCTGTGGATACCGGAGGGGCAGATTCTGAAAGGGTTCCTCCCAACCCTAGGATTAACTATCAATTGGTTTCAAATCCTTGTTTTTTGTATACATTGGTTGTCTATGGACCTATGTCCCTTCCTTTGGATAGTTCCCTAAAAAGATTTGGTGAGTTGGTGTGCCTGATGCATCTCCCTGTGGTGTGGATGAGCCCAACACCACTGCAGACCTGCCCCAAGAAGTCATGGGAACCAAATCAAACGAGAGGGAAGGTAGTGTGGAGGCACCAAGAGTATGAGAGCAGGAAATCAGGAAGACCAACAGAGGTGCAAGGGTAGGGACCCAGCTGTGAAATACTCTTTCAGAGTATACAAGCTGAAGCATCTGAACCCATGGGAACATAGGCTTCTGATGAAGAGGAAGAGGTGGTGAGAATGCGGGACACACAAGTCAGTCAGGGAAGTCTGGTAACACCTGTGTCAGTATTTCAGCTTTTATTCCAAGCTTTATAGGATCTATCCATGATGCTGAATTCCATCCCCAAAATAAGTGTACTACTACTGAGCACCATGGATAGCTCCTATAATGCTCACAAATAAAAGCTGCACACAACGCCTGCTTCCCTTGGGTGTGGAGGAGGACACTATTCCTGATCAGTGTTGAATGCGAGTCCCGAGGGTTTCCATACATGGATAGTGGGGGATGTAATCTTGTCCTTCATTTTAGACAGCCAATCATCTTGCACCGGTCCTGACCTGCTCACTATAATAGAGCCACACTATCCAAATCTATGAATTTAAGTCTTTAGAAATATTTGTTTCTAATTTAAGCAGACACATTGTTGTGTATACTCATCTTTGTTTGCGCCAGTGCTTAGATACCTTAGGAGCACAAGGGTTCCCTCTAGCTCAAACCCCCAACCCACTGCAAACCATACAGTCCACATCTAAGATCCTTCTCCAAGTGCATCCACTGAGGGAGGTTTGAAGGAAAACATTACCAGCCTTCATGCTGGTAACCTTCCTTCTGTGGAATAGCGTCACCAGTAAGATTGTCATCTTGTTGGTGCCAGATTAACACTTTCCTCTATTGTCAGGCATACAACAGCATATACAGGGATTTCCCCTTTTTAAAAAATTATTTTAAATCATTTTATGTTTTACTCGCTGTTTGTGCCTGGAGTCTTTTTCTGAGAAGGTCATTTAAGAATGTTTAATCATTCACATTCATTTCTTCACTGCTCTGGGATAGCTCTGTACACACTAAAGGATGGAGTGAACACGGAAACCTGCATAGGTAGGAGTACCATGTATGGCCACAGGGCCCTGGATAAGGATGAGGGGCATCAGGGGGACCAGTGGAACAAACCTTATATAAATCAGTGTAATATTCAAGCATCCCTATAAATACACACAACACCTGCTTGTATGTTTTCTCAAAAAGAACCCTCTATTCACAAACTACCAGCATTGCTATTCTATCATCTTATGATTTCCAAATAAAAACTCAAATAAACAGGATGTTAGAAAACAGTGGAACACATGGATTAATTAAACAATTTATTTGCATTCAATTAAAAACACATGATAAAATCTGGACAAGTTTTAACTGATTCAGTTAACAAATGCCAGAAGATAAATAGAAATTCAATAATATGAATACTTTTAGATAACATTATGAACCACAAATACTTTCTCAATTGGTGATTCTAGAAGACTGTGTCTTATAAATAATTATTTTAAACTGATAAATAGGAATAATTTATATATTATAAATTATATATTAAATTGAGTTATTCACAGAAAAATACAACTATGCTCTGAAGCTTGGTCTGTATCCCTTCTGCACCTGGGGATTTTGTCTTCTCCTTCTCTTTCGCCTGTTCTCTTCTACATTCACCTGCTGCAAAACTTGAAAAATCTCGGCGGCTGCTTTGCGTTGGATTTTTGAATCATCCATCTATTGCAAATGATAAATACCAATGAATTAAAACATGTATAGGAAAGTATGGAAATGGCACACTCTGTTCTAACATATAGTTATAGAACAAAAAATAGCACGGGGTTTAAAAAATACTAATAGCATTCAAAAGATCCTTAAAAAGCAAGAACGTTGTCTTTTTGCCAGTGAGGTTGTTTCAAACTTAAACACCTGATCCATTCATCAAGGGTAGGCAACTTTTGGCCTAACCAGATAGAAATACTTACAGCATACTAACTAAGGAGCAAGAATCTACTAGTTTACAATAGGATATAGTGCTGAATGAGGTAACATAGATGATACCTCCTTTCTTGTTCTCTCAATACCAGCCCTGTTAAATAAGTTAAAATGAGAAGCCATGTTTTGTCCCCCTTATCCTACCCTGGTTGTAGCTGAGTACAGATTTGAACCCAGATCTCCACTGTCTAACTCCAACACTTCAACCACTAGCCTACTCTCCAAATCTCATCTTCCTGCAGTGCTTTGCTGGCAACAAGGAAAATAATCATCTGAATATTCCTACATTTATCAGATTGAAATCTCATTCTGAAATTGCCTGCTAATACCCAGTCCTGTAGCCAGATGGGCTAGATAAGATAAATTCACTTTCCAGGGTACTGGCAATCATTATTCTGGGAGATGAGATGACGGCCTGGACTAGTTTTGCTTTGGATGCCCACTGCTGCAAGGGACACAATTCATCTTTTTATTATCCTTCTGTATTACCCCAATTCTTTTCCTGCCAACATTTGCCACTTAGCTATTGCCAGAGCAATGCTTCTGTCACAATCTTAGGCAGACCTGGACCTGATCAGCAACTGGATTGAAAACTGCCTAGTAGTTTGCTGAAGGGGTGTACTGGAGCCAGAGTGCCATTTTATTGGCAGCGATGCTAGTTCCATGTTTCCTCTGAGCTTATCTGCTATCTTCCAATAGTCTAGTAGTTCCCAAACTTTTCTATGCCTCACATCTGAACGAATTGTTTGATTTATGGTCATATGTTCTACAAAAGTAATATCACATTTGAAGATGAAGCAGTCAACATTTCTAATTTTTGAAACACATACAGTACTGCGGGTGAACAAATTGAACTCAAAAAAATAAGGTTTTGACTCAATGCATAAAATTCAAATATAAACTGAGCAATTAGGAAAAAAAAGTAAACAGTAAAATCAATCCCAAATGTAAACATACAGTTCAATGACTTCTTTGATCCTGTTTCTCATTCACAGTTTTGTCAAAATGTGGAACTTTCGATCCACAAGCCTGCCTATGGATTCTGACTATTCCTAGATTTTGTCTTGATTGACAAAAGAGAACTGAATCCAAATGCAAACAAAATAATAATAAATTTATCATTGAGATAATTTTTGGCAAAAAGTTTCCAATTTTGGCGAATCATGAGGCAGCTTTCCTCTTTGTCACACCCCTTGAAATGCCATCTCACACCCCCCTGGGGGTGCAGGCACCCAAGAATGGGAAGCCCTGCAGTAGTCCCTGTAATGACGTATTCATCCCTTTTATAAAACAAAGAATTTTGTGGAGACTTGGTCTTGAATGAGCAATTAAGACCCCTTCATTCGTCGAAGGCCTGTTCCTGCTAGAACTGGATTTTCCTTTGGATCAATACAGCAAGTTGCATCTTGGACTCTCCTTGGGGGCATGGCTGGACCACCACAATGAGTGTCCACACTTCAAAACTTGCCTCTACCCCACTGGTGTACTGCTTAAAACTCTTTGAATGAAGGGCAAGATAAAATTGTAATGCTCTTATAAACATCAGCACTGATGCATTCATCCATAGAGTCTATCCTTGGACTGTGAGCTGCTCCTTGCCTTAATCAGACTCGGCCTCACTTCTCCTACTATTCACGCTTGTGTTTCAAACCACTCGGCAACAGCACGTTGTTTATCACGTTGTGATAAAACTTGCATTTCATAGTTTATACTCCGGTAGGAATATCCATGACTCCAGACATTGATTTATTGGTGGGAGAGGTTAATATCTCCAGAATGCAATTCACCAACAAGAATAATTCTTAATATAGAATCATTTTTTTTCCATTGCCACTGAACTGAGTTGTTTTTTCCATTAAGGTTTGTATCAAAATTTATTTCCTGGTTGGTCACTGCCAGTTTACACCACTTCAGTGTATAACCCCCACAGCCCATTCCTTCACAGGCATCATCTCAGCCACATCACACACACCTTCTAATCCTTATATGAAATAACATAAATCAAAAGAAAGAATTTACTATTACCGAAACTTTTGACAATTTAATTAGATCTTTGGCTTGCTCCAGGTATTCACTGTATTTCCTTTCATAGTCTTTTAGGGCTTCTTTTAAGTCCCGGATGTGTTCTGAGGACTGTGATTTGCTTATATTGCTCAGCATTGTGTGGTACATGGAAATAATCTGGGCTAATAAGATTTTTCTTTCTTTGGTCTGCAAGAAAACCAACAACAACAAAAAAGAAGAATGGATTAGTGACATTCTCCTGATAACGGCAAATTGGGAATTTCAAGCTGAGGGCTTCCAGCTTCTCTGGGGAGTTCTCAGACCATCACATGGCCATTGGTGGCATTAGGGTTGCTATATCTTGAGGTAGCCATTTGGCAAAAGCCAAGCAATGCCTGCTACCTGTTCTGAAACCGAAATGGGATTTTGTGAATTTCTCTTGATATGTTACTAGAATTATGTCAGTAAAAATAATAAGATGGCCACCTTTCAGATTGAATTAAGTTGTCTCAATTAGAAAGAGAATGTGGGCATGATACCACTTTGCAAGAAACGTCTGTCATTTCCTTGAATGACCAACTGCTATTTGGCGATGGACATTTCATTTTGGCAGAAGAAAGTTGCATAAAGAACAAACAAATAGATTGAGAAACTTACCTGTGACCACCGGCTGCTCATCAGTTTATCTATAAAAACTGGTTCACCCCTGGCAACATCAGAATGACTGGTATTCTGTAATACAAAATACAAATGTCTCAACTCACGGTAAAATATAGTTCAGTCTCAGCAATGAAAATTCTAGATCAAGCAGTTTGATCCTCAATCAGATCTAAACCTGCAATATTTTCCCTTAGGCTAAAACCATGCAGCCTGTTTCACTTCAAAGCAGTGCTAACCTTATAGTGCTATTGTCCATTTAGGCAGGAACTACGTTCTGTCGACTTAGAGAAAACATACATATTCTCCACTATCTTTCATTTCCATCCTAAGGAACAAACAATATATCTTCATCAAAAATATTAGTGAAGCAAATACCGATGTACAATTTTGCCTGGGAATATTATCTACTTTTACCAATATTCCAGATGTTATGGAATTCATCAAACTAACAAGCTTCAATTCACTGCAAATGGACACCAGCAACATCCTTATCTGTGTTATTTCCAACCTATCTCTTCTATGTGTGGTCCTGAATTCCATTTAGGAAGTGAGATACTTGAACACTGCATGTGCATTCTGGTCAATGTTGTTCTTTCATTTGGTTTAGAGCGATTAGAAACTCAAAATAATAACACTCAACAATGGACATGCATTGGTTCTGGACTGGGCAGGAAACATACATCTTGAAGAATTATGCTGAGCTATAAAAACACATTGACAAATTGCTCTAGCAATCATGTTTCAGCTAAGGCTGCACCTCTAAGTTGCCTACACAAGTTCTCCTTAAAATACTATCAGTGGCATTATCAGTTGAAGGAGAAAACTGCTTGAATTTGACTGATAACTCAGCTTACTGAGGAAGCTCATGTGGCATTCTTGGAACATTCAGTGGTCTGCATGGGCAAGGATATCCCACCTATTGTCTCTGCAAATACCCCCTCAAATATTAAAGATGAGTGCAGGAATCACTGTCAACAACAACACTCTTTCACTAATACCCAAACGACCATTGTTGTGATTTCTAAAGCTGCTTGAAGCACAGATATAAATCTGTAAGAAATGACCCTGTCACAGTATAACACATAAGAAAGTTGCACCCAGTGTTAGTCTTTCTTACTTACAGTAGACCCATTTAAATGAATGACATTTAACACCGGCTACAACTGAGAGACATCTACGACTATGATTCCAAAATAAGGATTTCCTTGACCCATGCCACTGAAAGCAAACTTTCCATACACAAAAAATAAAATTCCATGCAGAATTTAGTAATATTGAACTTGTCACTGTGAAAGGACTTCAAGGAGAACAGGAATGTGACAAAGTAGCCACCAAGCTGCAATGGTGTAGGGCTAGTCATGGAAACAATAACAAAGGTGCCGGTTCAATGTGTACAACATTCAGATAGTTCTGGTGGCCAGCAAGTGACCAGCTCTGCCTAACATCCTACACCTGTAAACACTAATAATAAACAAAATCATTCATAGATCTGTTTTTTCCCCATCTAATCACATCATATGTATGTGAACAAGTATTGTTACATGTCTGACTAATAGGTAAAATTGTCTTGTGTAATATGAGGATTCCACAAGTTCTTAGGCTTTTGTGGCAATGGACAATAGAACTGACCTCTGTGCAATCCGGCCCAAATTCACTAAGCTATATACAATAAAATGGTTGCAAAATGAAAAGCAAGTATATACATCATGACACGTTGCATCATAAACTCTCTTAAGGCTGTCTGCCCGAGAAGTAGCCACATCCTTGGGTATGGCAGAGTACAGGCAAATGGAGAAAAGAAGAAAGTCAGAATATTATCTGAAGATATACTTACGAAGTCAATCTCCAACTTTTCTATAGCTCTTTGTATATGTTCAAAAGTTGAACTGGAGATGTGCTGTCCATCAGAACAACTGATAGTCAAAAAGACGAATAGACAAATCTGCCAAACCATTGCTCTCGTCTTAGGTAGAAATGCCGCTTCCCGGTAGATTGGAACAGCAGACTTGCAGACCTAACTTGGTTGTCTGTTGCACTTGCAAGTTTGATCTTAGCCTCTCTGAGCGGGGATATTTATACCTGCAGGATGGGTACGTTTTTTTAACTAATCAGAATGGGGCAATTTTCACACATTTCAGAAGATGGTGTTGAGATAACAGATGTGTCGGGTTTTTATTAATAGGCTTGGTTTGTGAGGTTTCAACCTTTAAAGTTTCCTTTAAGCATTGGCTCTCCTTGTAATGACTACTCTTGCTACATGTCCAGCTTTCGTCTCTTCTGGGATCCCTCGAAAGTGTGCCCACATCAAGTGGGGAGAAAGAAATTTCCATGTCAGCTCAGTCCTGCCCATTTTAAAGGAAACCCCTTGCGCAGTACCCTGAAACTACTTTAGCACTTCTCAGTGGGGAATAAACAAGACAGGAAGTGTGTGAAGCAGCCACATTAAGCAGCAGGTTTTACTTCCCATGAAAATCTGATGAGATATTCACCATGTAGTCTTTAGTATCCTCTGACTTTCTTTCAACCTGAAGGCCAAGGCCTATTTCCAAGGAGCTTCCAGTGGAGGCATTTTAGTGGCAGTCTAGGCCAAAGGGAAAATGTGTGGATCCCAAAATGCTAGCACATTTTAGCCCAAAGCTCTTATTATTATTTCATGGCATTTCTATCCCATCCTTTTTCCTCCTGTGAAGAATCCAAGGAAACTTATCTATTTCTCCTCCACTCCATCTTTATCCTCACAACCTCAATACTGTGAGGTGGGCCAGGATGAGAGGGAGTAACTGGCCCAAAGTTACCCGGTGAGCTTCATGGCCAAATGGGGACTAGAACCGGGATTTCCCACATCTCAGGCCAGCACCCCAAGCACAACATCATGCTGGCTCCCAATAAATAACTGGCTTAGTTATTGCCAAGAACTAACCCTTAGAAGAATTATCACAACTTTTTGAAATGGGGAAAATCTGTACAAAAGCCAAGAAACCACAAAATGATTTTTTGTGGGGAGGAAGAAAATGGCAGGACAAAGGGAAAGGCGTCGAGGTCATCTATCTAATCCCAGAGGCCAGACTGGGACATGAGTTCTACACTGCTGCTCTAGATGGGTACTCAAAAGAAAGACCCCCCTGTACCCTGTGGTCCTTACTCTCAGGAAAGTGTATCTAAGATCACAGCCTGAAATGTATTAGTATTCTATAATTCACTGTCAATGAAGTGCTTGTGAGATTTTCTGTGTCACTTTTCTTGAGTAAGTGGCATCATTTGCTCCTTGCCTTTGGCCACAAAATATCTCAAGTCATCAGGACAATGGCTACTAAGGTACAGTTGCTAAAAATGCAACGGCTAAGATATCCACATATGCATTTGCTTTCTATGCATTTATCTTCTATCTACTCATATCACTAGATCATTGTCATTTAGTGACCATTCAGTAACTTCAGAACATCTTCCTGCTATGCTTTTTTCAATGGATTATCAAACACCTATGATATTTTCCTATAAAATGCAGCATGGCTAAAGTGCTGAACTGTTTTCCATTCCCGTAATTCCATTTTCAAGCCATCTCATTCACCCTTCTTACTTTCCCAACATTTTCTCTTGAAATCTATCATTTCTAAAATGTATCTCAGGTAGGAATGTATGAGTTTTGTTTGGCAGATTTATTTATTATGTATTTAGTACATTTCTATCCCAGTTATTTTCATTCCAGAATCTCAAAGTGGTTTGCATAGTTCTCTTCCCCACAATTGTATCCTCACAACAGCAACTCCGTGATGTAGGTTGGGCTGAGAGTCTGTGACAGGCCCAAAGTCACCCAGTTGGCTCCATGGCTGAGTGGGGACTAGAACCCAGATCCTCTGAGTCCCAGTCCCATGCTCTTAACCACTACACCACACTGGCTCTCTTGCCAGGGGTTTCACTCCATCACCCACTCTTCAGTGCAATCGGGTGTTTTTAAACCAAAATTTCAATCTACTCATGCCAATTCACATTAGTGCGAGTGTGCATTACTGTAATGTGAATTACTGCAAATCCCATCCCTACCCCAAAACTGATCCACAGGTTTATGCATGCAAATTGGAAAAAAGGGTCCACTGGGGAATCCACAGGTCAGATTTATAGAAATCCAAACTCATTAACATCCATTGCAGATTTCTCCATCATCCTTCTTCCCTCAACAAATTTCTAAGAAATTCCATTAGGATGGATGAAGCTGAATGGGTTTAAGAGAACGGGAGGTGCGATGTTAGAAAAATGTGGATATTCACTTTTTCCCCACTGTTGTCCCTGCATGAATAAATTTTGGAGGTGTCTATTAGGTTACTACAAACCAGTTTAACATTCATGATTTCCTTTTAGTTGCACTTTGGGGATAATGAAGATGATTTATATATATTGGCTGTCTAAGTGCAGCATTTTGTAGAAGGAAGAAAGGAGGCTGAAGTGCCTCCTTTGGGTTGTACCTTGACGGCATCAGTCTCCTCCCCTCCCCAACTCCCAGGGCACCCACTAAACTCCTTCTCTGAGGTTGTCCTTGTGCCGCAGCCAGCAGTTCTCTTTGTGTGTGTGGATCCTCAGTGACAAGGTCAGAGCAAGATCCTGATCTTGTAGGCAGAATTTTTAAAATGCTATGGCTGTCTAGGTGTCCCTCTAGAACCCATAGGATTTCATTGCCCATCCATCATGTTCTAATCAGCCCTTTGTCTGCCCACCTTTATTGACCATTGAGAGTACGAGTTCTCTTGCAGAAATTGCGTATTTCCTTTCGAGTGACAGCACTAATTTTGTAGTATAGCAGCAATATGGACAGAGCTGGGAAAAATTGCAGTGGTGACACAAAGATCCAAGCTGAGTTACATCTTGTTACTTTTGTAAATTATATTGATACAATGGGGAGCGCAATCAATGGAATGCGCTCCCCAGACAGGTCCGCCTGGTGCCATCGCTATTTGTTTTTTGGCGCCAGGCGAAGACCTTTTTATTTAAGCGTCATTTTAATTGTTAATAGTATTTGCTTATTTTATCTGGCCAGGGCAACTTATTTTATATTGTTACTTATTTTATATTGTTACTTATTTTTATTGTTATTTTTTGTATTTTAACTTTATGTTGTGAGCCGCCCCGAGGCTTCGGCGAATGGGGTGGCATAGAAATGTTTTAATAAATAAATAAATAAATAAATACTGAGTTGTTTGAAATCATATATACATTTCTTTCTTGATGAGCCATGGTAGTTACACAGGTCTGAAAATGGATTATACTAAGATTTGCATTTCTTGTGCAAATTTGCAGTGTCCTTACCACAAGCCATAATGGCAGCTCTGAAAAAAGGATTGCCTGTCTCCAGCTCTCTCAGTGGTGACTAAGCTCATGAGATCCTTGCTTCTACAAGTTGTGTAAAACTCTGCAAGGAACAGCCCCTCACAGGAGGTCCCAAGGTCAATTCTCAGCATCTGTAGGCCTGGCTTTGTGGCCAGTTGGGAAACAAGCAAAAAGAACTCTGCATCAATATAATAGTGAATATTTCAAGGTTCTCTTGTCAATCCCTGCTTAACATGGTGTATGTCAGGCACCAAGTATATATGCCGTGTTTTAAGCAGGGCAAGAAATGCATTATCAATATTCCTGTACAAGAAATTTGTTTCATCACAGCCCGAAAAGAGAGCTGCAGGGGGTCCCAAAATACTTTATGTCAAAAGTTTTACTTGCAGGTTTCTTAAAATCATTGCAATAGAGAGTGGCCCTGGAATCTATTGTTCAGTGGATAGCCTTCAATTTCTATTTCAGGATATGCAGCCCCTTAGAGCATCTCTAAATTGGAATTCAGACTTTGCTCTGAAAGAGGCTTAACACCCTGTTATGCAGGAATATAAAGCTGGTTTGCATACTTTTGCAGAAATCAATGTTGGATGCATGACATGTATGGCATCTGTATAAAGTCATAATAGATGGTGGTGGTATTTTAAATACCATTTTAAAAAGCAGCCAAAATTATCTGAAGAGGCAACAAAGAATCTTTCTTGCCTCACCTCTTTGAAGTGGAAATAGTTTTCCATGCATGTTTGCAGGAAAGCTTTTGCTTGGACTTTCCTCATACAGATTGCCATTTACTGCTATACTGACTAAGCAAACCAGTTTTTTATCCACAGAACTCAGGTGCAAACTGAGACTTATCACCTAGACTAGATGAAAAAAACCCACTTTTGCTTAATCAACAACTTTGACAGTAGTTGAAACCATGTCTGCTAATGACTTTTACGAAGAATTTCCAGCTCACTTTTGAATGTTAACTGCACATTAGACAATCAGCAACTTTTCTTGAGGTTTTTGACAGTCACCTATGTTGCAACATGAGCTTTTGTGGTGGCGGGTCATAAGCTGATTTTGTCTCAGTTCACACAGGGCAAAAGAAGCATTCACACTTTCAGTTCTGCCTGTTTGCAGGGAGCTATACAAACCACATAACCTGCACTGGATATGTATAATGGGACCAATCAGAGACACTTGCCACAGGAAGTTCTGAGACAAACCTGCAGCTTCCAAATGGGCAAGTTTGTCCATTTGGTTGCCATCTTCACTGAAATAAATGAGAAAAACCTCAGAGGGGGAGGAGGGTGCACTGTAGTCAGAAAAAAATACTACAGACATATTGGGGCTTCTGTCAACTGAGGCATTCCATTTTCAAAAGAATAGCCCTGTCCATCTCCCATGTCAACAACACTAAGGACTTGACTATGTGAGGCATTTATCGTACACGCTTGTGATCCTGCACATGCAGAAACTTGCGGGGCCTTCACACAATGTCATCCTCTTCAGTGCCTCTCCTGAGTTTTCCAGCCATTTCTGTGATTGTTTTAGAGTGAGAAAGAGCGGATATTTTCCTAGATAAAGAGTGGCGCCATTGTTCACTACAGAAACCTATAGTACTTTTGCAAGTCTGTTCTAAACCACAGCACT